AGTGCTTTTGGAGAGTGCCTTAGGCAGTGATCCGGATAGTACTGGTGATATAACAGAGGCACTGAATGCACTAAGAACTCCTGGAGACTTTCAAACAAAAGAGGAAGATGACTCAAGAAAGCGATACATCATTTTCTGATAGAGATTCAACCTTGGAAACATCCATAGAAATAAAAGCAACGGAAACTTCTTCCATACAAGGAAGTATTGCTACTGAGGAGCGTTGGGAGTCTCTGCTCGATGATGATGGTGACTATGTGGATCCACGTCTTCAACAAGAGTTATCAGGGAGTATGAACAGAGACGACATCCAGGAGCCAAGACATGATTGTTACGGCCATGAAGTTCCTGATATTGACCTCAGCAAATGTGAATTCCAGCATGTCATCGAAATTTATGACTTTTTTCAAGAATTCCGTATAGAAGATCTTCTACGGGTTTTTGTAGTTACCAAAAGCAAGGATTTGATGTTAAATGGGTAGATGATACACATGCACTAGGAGTATTCGCCAGTCCAATTACAGCTCGTGATGCTTTGGGTATTAAACATACCGTGGTGAAGATCCACCCCTTGTCACAGGCCACAAGAGCAGCCAAGGCCAAAGCTAGAGCTTATGCTGAGTTCCTCCAACCAGCAAAGGAGAGACCTGAGATGTCAGCAGCATTAGCCCGAAGGCTGGTCATCAGCACTCTTGGGGTTCAGGGCAGACAGAGCAAAGCTGAACGGGAAGCAGAGCTCAAGAAACTGCGGGAAGCCCGAGAGAGAAAATGGTTGGAAGCCAAGCAACAGGAAGACATCTGGGAAGGTAGAGGCCAGTCTGCAGTTTAAATATCACTTAATGAAAGGAAGGATTCCATGAATAGGAAATGTTTCCACTCTTCATAAGAGAAGATTCTTTCAAAGCTGTGCACGTGCTGATGAACATGTTAAAGTGAACAAGACAAAGGCTGGCAGAGCATAGGGAGGAGATAGACTCCTATCCTCACTCCTAAGTACAGTCTCCAGAACTGTCCTACTGTGATG